TGTTTATTAATTTTGTTATAATCAAGAATCAATGAAAACCAATGAAATAGTGTTGAATTAATATTAAAGTCGAAAAGCATTGAACTATGCTTTGCAACATTCTGAAATGTTTTTAAAAACGAAAAAATGAAAAAATGAACTTAAATTGAAGATTTGTTAGATTTCATATGGGAGACAAAACTGATCAAGATGATAATGAATATACTAATCTTTATATTGGAAATATTCCTTATTCAAGTACAGAAAAAGATGTAAAGAATTTCATTCAATATGATGGATGTAAAATCACTATGGTTACAGATAAAAATACAGGGAAAACAAAAGGGTTTGCTTTTGTAGCTTTTGAAACTCATGAACAAGCATTAGAAATAAAGAAACAAGTTTGTTATTGACAATAACCAATGAATATTACATTGACAGAACATTATTATATGAAAAAAAAGAATACTGAAATAATATCTTAGGTTACAGGGAAAAGAATTGGGAAGGACGTCCAATTATTTTGAAATGGGACAGAGGACTACAATCAAAAGTATCAGAATAAAAGCTATAAATTGTTTGTTATTAATTTATTTATATTATATGTTCATAACTAATTGATTGTAGTGGATATCACAAACAACATGAATCCTCTTCTAGAAGAAGAGGAAGAAGTTATTCTCGCCATAGATCTTCTCATAGAAGAAGACATTCCTCTCGGTCAAGAAGTGATTCGTATGAACGACGACATCATTATCACCACCACTATCATTCTTCGGAAAGTACTTCATCTAGAAGTCCATCACGAGATGATAGATACCATTCTCACCGTTATAGTGACTCTAGAAAAAACTCGTCTAGAAGAGATAGGTCAATGAGAGAAAAGTCTCCAGACAAAAACGAAGAAAAGAAAGGACATAGAGTTTCTGAATTTGATAAAGATTGAATGTTCAATTGAAGAAGTGTTGATGAGACGAAGAGCTTTGATGAAGATTTAAGATGTTTTTTACGCAAAAAAACGAAAAATTGTAATCTGTACAGATTGTACATATCCTTCTCTGGTTGATTTTCAAACACTGAGTTGATTAAGTCACAAAAGAAAATACACATCTAATTTTTAAACAAAACAGCCATAACATAATACTAAAAAGAATAACAAACATCGACCAATTTATTTATAAACATTTTTGATAAAAATATGAGTCATACAAACATTATGTATCAAAAAGAATGTGTATTTTTTGAAAAAGGTAAATAACACAAAGTAAGTCTTATTCTTTGTTTGTTACTTAAAAATGTTGATTAGTTTGTTTTTTATAATTGTATAATTAATCAAACATAAAACGTCTTTCCACATTATATGTTGAGATTTGATAATGTATAAATTGAATAATACATACCATTTTTAATACCAAGTAGCAGTATCAAGCAAAAAGCTAAGATATATGATATAATAAGTAATGTGATTTTATCCTTGTGTTGAGTAGATAGGAGAAAGTGAAGAGGTTGAAATAAAGAAAAGTTATTTTCGTCGATTGATGAGGTATTTCGTTTTTTGAAAAGTTAAATCAAAAATTGAATGAGACATTTGTTAATAATATGACAAAGACACCAAGTACTTGTATTGAATGGAAGTTGGAACAATAATGGTAATTCTGCATGGCTTATCAATAAATTTCTTGAAGGATTAAAACAAGAGATGGAAATAGAGGAGAAGATTGTTAATGTACCTCGAATGAATCCAAAGTCATGTTATGGGTGTTTACAATGTAGAAACAAAGACGACTTTTATTGTGTCCAAAAGGACGAGACATTCAAACTAGCGAAGGATATTTTGAACACTGAAATTGTTGTTTTTGCATTTCCAATTTATTATTTTAATATGCCAGGACCAATTAAAACATTGTTAGATCGTTTTGTTCCTTCATACGATTGGGATAATAATGGATTAAAACAAAACCTTACTCCTTTGTTTAAACATAAAAGATTTGTATGTATTGTGAATTGTGCTGATGTTCAAGAGAGTTTTTGTGAAAGAGGTGCTTATGCAATTAAAGAAACAGCTCATTTGTATCATATTGCATATAATGAATTGTATATGGTTGGATGTGATGGAGAAGGTATTGTTGAGAAAGACATAAAGAAACAGGAAAGAGCCATTAATTTTGGAAAACATGTTGGTGTAGAACATTTACGGGTATGAAAATTAGCAAAGAAAATGCATCTAAATAAATTAAAAAAATGAAAAAAAGAAGCAAAATAATTTGCATCCATAGAATATTCCATTTATTATATTTTGCTCCTAACAAATAAAAATAAAAAATATGATAAATACAGAATATATATATATTTATGTTTATATTTTATATTCAATTCTATTCATTTTGTATGAAATATTAATGAAATAGATTATTTGATGAATCATATTTAATTATTTTAATTATTTATATTCTTTTATTTATATGTTATTTATCTATCGTATTTTTATATTTATTTCTCTGTTTATATTATTTATATCATTGTATTCTTCTTATTATCTATATATTATTATATTATTATATTCTTCTTATTTTATGTTTTTATGTTTATATTATTTAGATTTTCTTATTGTTATTCTTTTCTATTTAGATGTATTTATTCATCTGAATATTCATCTTTATCATTTTTATATTCATATATTTTATATCTATTTTCAATTTATATTTATTCTCTTTTGTTTTATATAGATTCGAAGATGGCACGTCAGAGACACCACATGAAACCCTAAAATAATCCCATGCTTCGAATCTCCCAGTTATCGTCTAGTCATGACGTGCCTTTGGTGAGATAATATCTATTCAACACTAACTGTTTATTATTATTAATATTTATTAGAAGTGAGTATTATAAAAGATTAATATTCATTAACGTGTATTGTTCTTCATTAACGTGTATTGTTCTTCCTTATTAATTATAAAGATTATTATTTACTAAGGAGGTATTATGTATTAAGAATTATCATTTATTAAAGAAGACGCATATATAATTGATATTGTTGCACAAAAATTAAACATAATGATATTATCAAGGAATAGGGTTTCTTTAAGGGGTGTCGAAGGTAAAAGGAGATGAGCTATAACAGTATGTTATGGATATACTCTCCTTAAAACAACAATATAAAGAATGAGAAATATTATATTACTCATTAAAATCAAAATAAAAGTCAGGCAGCAACTTAATTGAGGAACCATTTAAGTCGAGCATGCTTGCAAAAACTTTATTTCAATAGAAATAAAGCGTGTTGAAGAAACTGATTCGCTCACTTCTCAACATGATGAAAAACCTAAAAATAAGGTTAATCATAATTGATTTCTTTTTTTTTTATTCTCTTTTGTTTTATATTAATATTATTTTTATCTTTTATACTTTGAATTTATTATTATATCATTTATTATCATTTCTCGTTTTATTTATCATTTATTCTTATTATTCTTTTGTTTTTTATATTCTATATCATATATTCATATCATTTTCATTTATATTTTATTACATATTACATGTTATAATAATAACATAACACTTATGTTTAATTATATAATAAATATCATAATGAAATTATACATACAAATAATAAATATAAAACGAATAAAATATTGTTCAACAATAAAATATTATTAATTATTTTACATCATTAGATTATACAATTTTTATTGAATATTTCTAATTTTTACAATAAAAATACACATTTTATTTCATATTTCTTTTCTTCTTTTATTATCTCTTTTGTTTTATTACTCTTTATCTTTTTTATCATTATCTTATTCTACTTTTATTCTTTCTTTTTATTCTTTTGTATCTTTCTTTCTCTTCTTTCCATTAGTTGCTTTTTTGGTTGCAGTAAAATAATTGATGAAATATAAACATATATTACTAAAAGTGAATTTAAAATTAATGAATAGAAATGAGAAAATAAAATGAATGATTGTGTTAATACTCTCTTTATTATTTATTCTCTTTTATTTTTGATTTTCTTATTTATTCTTTACATTTGTTTATATCATTTTTATATTGCAACTTAAATATTCTTGTTTATTTGATTTATGTTTATTTCTGATTCTATTAGTTATTTTAATAGTAACATTTCTAAAATACTACCAACTATCTTCATATCTATTTTTGTATTAGTTTTTACATTCCATTATAAATGTTTTGGATTTATAACATTACATTAAATTTATTTGTTTTCTTTTTTTGAGTTTAAAATACAATTTTATAATCATTATTATTCTTTTAGAATTTTATATGTGTTTGTATTTGTATTAATTCTTATTTTCTATATTATCATATTTCTGTTTAATTCTTATTCATCATTTCGTTAATACTTCTTTCTATTTCTATTTTATTTGTTTCTTCTTTGTTTATTAATTATTATTACTTTCTCACTATTTATTTAGTTTAGTATTCTTTTATTATTTAATTAAATAATATTGTTTGGTTATTTGTTATTGTGTAATTAATATCATCTTTGTATCCTTATTCATTTTTTATTATCTTTATCAATAATCATGAATATTAAGTAATAAAAGAAATGAATGAATATAAAATAAAGTCACAATAATAATTAGATAATAATATAATGAATATGAATATAATTTAAAAGAAGTTGTGAATAAATATAATTTTATTATTTTTCTTATATTCATTATATTTCATTATTTATCTTGTTTATATTTTGATTATCATTTATTTATTCTATTTTTTACTTCTTGTTTTTCTTATTCATCTTATTTATATACCCCCAAATTAATTTAACAAAAAGAAGTAATTTATTTAAATATTGATAGTTGAATAGAATATAATGAGGAGTATAATATTGACAAATAAAATAAATACGAGATTAGTTCATCTTTCAAAACTCTCCAACTTTGACAATAACAAAAATGGTTAATGCATGTAAATGCACACAAAGCACTTGTCTACAATAAATACTTTGGTATTACCATCAACTCTATTGTTCATCATCCGTTCTTGGTATTGAACTCTCTTCTATCTTATTTATCTATTTGTGTTTTTCTTTCTATTAAATACTCATATAATTACAAAGTGTCAAATCAATAAAATAATAACAAATAGATAATAAACGTAACATTTGATCATTGATTAATAGAATATTAATCATAACATACATTATTAAAATGAGTAATTTCATTGTTTTATTTATTATTTACATTTTCTTCTTATTTTTTTTGAATAAATTATTCTTCTTTTGATATTATTCTTTCATATTATCTTATTTCATTCTTTATATTATTAATTAATATATTTCTTATTCAAATACATCATCATAACCATCATAAACAAATAATAAATGATAATTCATTATTTGATTTTGTATTAATGTTTGTATTGTGTTTCAGACATGAAATATCCATTTCTTAATTAACATAAAGAAATAATGTTGATAAAACATGAAAATTCAAATCACAAACGATGAAATAACGAAAATAAAACAGAATTGAATTTTCTTCTCTTCAATTTTTTTTGTTATTAAAAAAAAATGAAAAAATGCTAAAAATAACATAAACTAATTATAGAAAATAACAATATTATAATATTATTATTATTATATTATTATTATTATTATATATTTATTGTTATTCTAAAAATGATAAAAGTCATTTATTTAAAATAATGATAAAATAATGATTGATTTGATTTTAATAACGTGGATTAACTATTTAAACATATTTTGAACTTATAAACATCAAATTAAATTAAAATGGAAGAGTTAATAAACAAGAATAATCAAATAATTAAAGAAGTAGTAGAAACACTTTCAAACATTCAACAATCAATTGATGATACTACTAAGAATTATCAATACTATTTAGGAAGTATTAAAAATGAAGTATTTGAAATAAAACCAGATGAGACATACTCAGAAGCTATTAAAAGAGGAGAAGGAATATTTGATAGGATTGATGAAACAGAAAGAAGAAGAAAATTAGTGATAGAAAAAAGTCAAGAAACAATCAACCAAATAGAAATAATGAAGAATAAAATGTCAAGAATCATAGAAGAATGTAATCATGATGAAGAAATACTGAGTAAAACACGGAATGAATTAATTGATAAAATCATTTCAATTGAAGAAATGAAAATGAAAGACAAAATATTCAGAGTACCAAAAGAGAAAGATAAAATCACGTCAGAATTTAATAACAAGAAAGAAGAATGGGAAAAGCAATACAGTGATTATTTAGAAAGGAAAAAGAGAGAAGAAGAAGAGGAAGTAAAAGAAAAGAAGAGGAAAGAAGAAGAAAAAGAAAAAGAAAGAAAGAGACAAGTAGAAATTCAACAAATAGAAGAATGGACAAATAGAAAAGTATTCAGTACACTATTTGATTCAGATAAAGATAATTGGAATGCTGATATATCAGTATTTGATCAAAGAATAAAGAATAAAGAACATCTAATAATTCTTATTGAAGATGAAGAAGGAAATAAATTTGGAGGATATGTTGATTCTAAAATTGATAAAGTTGGTTGTTATATAAATGATTCAAAATCATTTTTATTTTCATTAGAATCAAATGGAAGAATTGAAGGAATGAAGAAATTTGATATTAAAAAATCAGGATATGCATTTTGGTTATGGAACCAATCAGATAATTGTTTGTTTGCACTTGGATGTGGACATGATATTTGTGTTTATAAAGAAAATTATAAAACAAAATCATATTGTAAACAAAGTTCATTTGAATATGGAGGAATATCAAATGCACTTTGTGGAAAAGGAGGTTTCACACCAAAACGAATCACAATAATTGAAATGAAAAAAATCAGTCTTGAATAATTGAAAATGAAATAAAAAAGAATAAAAAACAAATCAATGAAGCATAAGAACATTTCATTTATCTGCCAATGAATGAAATGGTAAAATAAAAATTTACATAATTCAATGTTGATTTATTTTATTTCATTTAATGAAATTTTCACACTCAATGAATGTGTTTTTAATAAATAATAAAAGAAATAAGAATAAAAGAGAAATAAGATAAAATGAATAAACAATTTATTTGTATTATTTCATTGAATTAATTCATTATGAATCAAATGAGTAAGATAATAAAAATAAGAATAAGAAAAAAGGACAATTAACAGACATATCCACAATTGGATTTTCTTCATATTTAGAAATGATTATTTCAGTTTCTTCAATATGCTCTATTGGTGTATAAAGTTTATTTCCAGAATGAATTATTACTTAAAATATAAAAAAAGTTAAAAAATTTAATGATGTATTAGAATAAATACATAGTATTTAGTTGAATGAGATTGTTGAATTGGAAAGATTTAAGAAAGAAAAGAATGAGAACCATTTACTATTCTAGATAAATGAGAAAAATCACCTCTCCTATCAACATAACCATTTTATTGGAGTATTATAATTAGAAGAAATAAAATTGATTACTCTCTATGAAATAAAACTTCTCTAAGAAATTGAAATTTTAAACAACATTTATTATTAATTTCTATGTAATTCTCATTAATATTTTTCAATAGTTCAAATAGAATACTATTTATCGATAATTTCATAAGAACCATTTATTGGGAATTTTTTAATAACTTAGTTATAATAGTTGAATTAAAACAAGAGTATAAATGAATTAAATTAACACATTTGAATTGAATGTAATAAACTAATAACATCAAATACTATTGTTATAAATTATTGACTTTCTTTAAAGTCATAAATTGGGTAGTTATAATACTGTTAATAATACCTTTTACTTACAACATTAACTTTCTCAGATAGACTCTGCTTTTATAAGTCACAAAAAGAAATAGTTTTATTTTAATTTAAATTTATTATTAAATTATAGTTTAGGTATTAGTTTCAATCAAAAAAGTATTTAATCTAAAATTGTTTTAATCTTTAAATAAAAATCAAATGGCACCTACCGCTCTTGTTACAGGTGGAACTGGATTTATTGGAAGTCATACTGTTGTTGAACTTATTGAAATTGGATATGATGTTGTTATTATTGATAATTTAACTAACTCACATGAAACAGTTATATCACATATTCTTCAAATTACAAAAGCTGACCCAAAAAGAATTACATTTTATAAAGCTGATTTACTCAATATTGATGAAATTGATCAAATATTAAATAAACATACCATTGATTTTGTTATTCACTTTGCTGCATTAAAAGCAGTTGGAGAATCTGTTTCTAAACCAATTGAATATTATAGAAATAATTTGAATGGTGTTTTGAATTTATTAGACTCAATGCAAAGACACAATATTTGGAGAATTATTTTCTCTTCTTCAGCAACTGTTTATGGAGAACCTGAAGTTATGCCAGTGAAAGAAACAACACCTTTACAAAAGCCATCAAATCCATATGGTCAAACTAAAGCAATGACTGAACAAATCTTAACTGACTTTAGTAAGGCACATAAAGAGGCATCAGTAATTTTATTAAGATATTTTAATCCAATAGGAGCACATAAAAGTGGTTTACTTGGAGAAAATCCATTAGGAATTCCAACCAATTTAATGCCAATTATAACAAAAGTTTTAGTAGGTAAATTACCACAATTATCAGTCTTTGGAAATGATTATAATACTAGAGATGGAACTTGTATTAGAGATTATATTCATGTTGTTGATCTTGCTCAAGGTCATGTAGCTGCACTAAAAGTATTATTAAAGCAACAAGGATTAAATATTTATAACCTTGGAACAGGAAATGGATGTACTGTATTAGAAGTTATTCATGCAATGGAAAAGGCATCAGGTAAGAAGATTAATTATACTATTGTTGGAAGACGTCCAGGAGATATTCCAGCTATTTATGCTGAATGTAAAAAAGCAGAAGAAGAATTAGGATGGAAGGCAAAATTAACATTAGAAGATATGTGCAAAGACTCTTGGAGATGGCAAACAAATTATCCAGATGGCATTTAAATAAGTTAAGCTTTTCTCTTCACTAAAGAAAAAGAGTTATTATTTATTTTTTCATCTTTTTTTTTTAATAAAGAAAATTAAAAAAAGACAAAGAAAAACTTGAAAAAGAAATAAAGAAATAATGAATCAAAATGCATTTTTTGAAAGCTTTTGTAACACTAATAGTATTGTTAAAATTATAATAAACAACCAACAATTTGAAGTTGATAAAAAAGTAATAGAAAGAAGTGGAAAAGGAGGAATACTTGATATTCTTTTTAAACAAAAAGCAGGAACAATAATGAAAGGTGAGAGTATTATACTTCATGGTGATGAAGAAAAAGCAAGACAATTAAAAGAATATATTTCATTTATTGAAACAAACCAAATTTATGTACAAAATTTAAGTTTATATGAAGTAGCACAAAAAGTAATGGATTTAATTTGTTGTGGAGTTGATTTAGGTGAGGCATTAGATTATTTTAATGCAAGAGATGGTAGTGGAGATGTTGTAGGTGAAATACTTTGTATTATGGGAGAATCTTTTACAACAAATTTTGTTCAAGCTGACCAACAAGGTACATGGCAAAAAATGGTATATGAAGGATTACAATGGGCATTTGCAAATAGACCAGAACAAATTCAAAATAATAGTGATCTTCTAAGTATAATTTATCAAAAATATAATGGTTTTAAAGATATTTAAATTCAATTATTTCTCTTCATCTTTTTCTAATTTATTTGGTTCAAGAATTGATTTAACACATAATGGACAAATCAATTTATTATTTGAAAATTCATTTTCAAGTAAAAAAGCATTAATTAATTTATTCATTTCTTTAATAACATTATTTGTTGGATCTATTTTTGTTGTAATTTTTGCTTTTTGTTTTAAAGAACGAATAGTAAATTTATGTTTCTTTGGACAAAAAATTATAATTTCTGAAGGTGCTTTAGCCGTTGTTATTAATCTTTGAGCTGTTCCATCAACTGAAAGAATAATTCTTTCTAAACATTTTTGTTTATTAAGTAATTTAGAAGAAGAAGTAATTTTAATATAATTAAGTTCTAATTGAGTAATAACCGTTGGAGTAAAATAACAAATGAATTTATTTTTATTTAATAATAAATTTAATAATACAGAACTAATATAATTATTATTATTAATAATTGAAAGTAACTCATTTTCAGTTATTTTTCCAATAATATATTTTAGAATAAATATTTCAATATCTTCTTTATTTGATAAAGTTTCTAATTTATTAAAAAGATATTCTAATGCAGTTTCATATTGTCCATAAAGATAAAGTAAAATAGCAGATTCTAATATAAAACTATTTAATTCTAAAAATTGATAAGTTCTAGAGAAGTCAAATAAAAGATTATCAAAACTTTGTATTAAATCAATAATTTTATCAACATCACCAGATATTAATGGTAATTGTTGTAATAAAACTGCTTTAACATATAAATCATATAAATCATATTTAGCATAATCATTAATCATACAAATACAACTAAAAGTTAATGTTTTTGGTTTAATAAGTTGAGTTAAACAATCTAATTGTTGAGGTTTAAGTTGAAATAATAAAGATTCTAATTGAATAATATGAGAAAGATTAGGAGATAATTTAATTGCTTTACATAACATATCAAATTTTTGAGGAATAGTTAAACTATCATATAAAGGAGAGGTATTTAAAATTTCAAAAATTGATTTAGGAACATTTTTAATTAAAGATGAAATAAATAGTTGTGGTTCTACAATATTCATTGATAAACTTCTTATTGTTTTACAATAAACTTTAACAACTTTTAATTCACACAATAATAATAATTCTAAAATATATCTCCAAAATAATTTAGGATGTTCAACTAATTTAGTCATTGCTTTTGTTCTATTATATAATACTTTTTGATTTAAATATTTAATAAATGATGAATCAGCAGTAATTCCATAATAATAATCTTTAATAATATAAATTGATACAATTAAATCTGCAATTTCAATACTTTCTTCAGAATGTTTTTCAATAGATTGTAATATTAAATCATATTCTTGAATTGAAAGTTTATGATGAATAAAAATATATTGATAAATAGAATAATTAAATATATTAAATGTTTCTAATAATTTATGTGATTTTATTGGATATTCTTTTACAAGAATTTTTGCTATTGCAATGATTGTTTCTTTAGAACTTTCATATCCTCTTAAAATTGAATATATTTTATTTTGTTTTTCAATATCTTCTTCAATTTTTAATTGATTAATAATAATTTGTTCAATAGACTTTGTTGGTTTACATAATATAATTTGATTTTCATTCCATATTACAATTCCTTCAAATAATTTAATATCTTCCATTGTTGGTAATTGAAATGGAATAATTCCTTTTGGTTTTTCCATTAATTTTTCACAATAAATAACTGTAGAATCGTATATTATACTAATACATTTTGTGTCTGAAATAAAAATTAAATCTCCAATAGAACATGCTGTAATATTTGTTTTTGTATATACTCTATTTGAATAATCAATTTCTTTAAGTAGTATTGGTCCTTTAATTCCAATATTCCATATTTGTAATTTATTATTAATATTAACTCCAATTTGTCCTTTATTTACATAAAAGATATCACTTGTACAAAATTTTATTGGATTTTCTATTATTAATTCATCATTATCTTTAATTTTAATTATATATATCATCTTTCCTGTTTGAATTAAAAGTATTGATTGACTTAATTGAATTTCTTCAATTGGCTTTTTACTTATACTAATTGTTTGAATTAACATTCCACTATTAACATTAAAAAATCCAACTATTCCATTTCTTGTACCAAAAACCCCAACTGGTAATCCACAATGTGAAAATACAGTAAAACAATTAACACCACCAATTTTATTTGATTTTGGTAAAATAACATTTCTTAATTTTGGTTCATAAAAATTATTTCTCATTATAGTGTATGAAAAATAATAATAATCTTCAAATAAAACAATTACATCTTGTCCATTTTGATCAATTGCACAATATGACCTTGTTGGTATATGTACAGTATCTAATTGAATATTTTGGTTAAAATTTGCTTTATTTGAATGAACTGAAATTAATAAAAATGTTTTTGTATTATTGTTAGTTGTTTCTTCTCTAATACATGCAATAATTTGATGAGTGTGTGAAGTATGTACAACACATGTTTTAAACTCACCTACTTATGAATATATTTTAATCTTTCTATCTTTTTCTTAAACAAAAATAAAATAATGTTGTTTCAAACACTGTTGTAGAGGTGATGTAAATACATGAATTAATTGATATGACTGTGGTAATAATGACATATTCTTTAAATATATTTTTTATTTTACTTTTTAAGTTTTTTTTTTTCTAAGTAAATTTTCTTTTTCTTATTTTCTATTGAACTTTTCAAATGAAAGAAGTTTTTTTTTAATATTTTATTTTATCTAAAACATTAATTATTATTATTGTATTTATTAAATTTTCATGAATATTTCTTTCTTTTCTTTCTTTATTATCTATTAACTCGTTTAGATTTTCTTTTAAATTATTTAATATTTTTAATATTCAATTGTTTTAAATTCCTTTATTTCTTTATTTTTTATTTCATATGTAAAAAATAAATTCTGTTCTTTTATAAAAGAATTTAACATTACTTTAATAAACTTACTACTCTCTTGTTAAAGAAATTAATACACTAATAACACATTTCAATTCGTTTCAATTCAAAATGTGTTTTAATTCATTACATCTTAAATTTAAAATTCTTGATTTATTCATTTACAATCTTTAAAGAAGAAAAATTGAAAATGAACTAAATAATTCCAATGTCTGAGAAAAAGAAACTTATTATACCAAAAGGTGCTGGTCAAATTCAACAATTAGGAAGTGGATTAAGAGCAAAACAAACTGATACAACTACCCATTTTAAAAAGAATTGTAGATATGATTATCAACCAGAGATATGTAAAGATTTTTATGAAACAGGATATTGTGGATATGGAGAAAATTGTAAATTTATTCACGACAGAAGTCTTACAAAAAGTAGTTTAACATTAGAACGTGAATTTGAAGAAAACAGAAAACATGAAGCTCAAAAAAAAACTGAAGAACTTATGAAAGAACAAAAAGAAGCTGATGAAATTAAACTTCAACAAGAAAAAGAACAGAAAAAAGAAACTATTTGTCCTAAATGTCAAAAAAAATATAATGAAGAAAAAACACCAATGATAATGAAATGTGGTGATTGGATTTGTTCTGATTGTGCAATTGGATGTAAAAAATGTCCTGTTTGTAACAATTCAACTGGTGGTGTTTTTAAAGCAGCTAAAAGAAAGAGATAAAATATTTTGGCTGAGATTGATTAATTGATTATTTTGTGATGTATCTCACTTTTATTTTTATTTTTTATAAAAAAATTAACTATTCTTCTAATATTTTGTATTATAAAATATAATAAAATAAATATTAAAAAATTTAAAAAAGAAAAAAGGGTTTTTTTAAAAAAAGAACTTCTTTTGCAAAGCAGTCATGGTTTGTTCAGATTACATTCAGATTTTTTAAAGTGAAAAGAAATTAACATAAATAGGCCACTAGATTCAGACAAACACGAAGAAGAAGAGGACATGTTTCAATGGGTTATGGTCGTATTGGAAAACATAGAAAGCAAAGAGGAGGAAGAGGAAATGCTGGTGGACAACACCACAGAAAAACATGGTTCACTACCTTCCACCCAGACTACTTTGGCAAACATGGAATGAGAGTATTCCATCTTAAAGCTAATAAATACTATTGTCCAAGTATCAATGTAGATTCATTATGGAGCCTTGTTGGTAAAGATGTTCAAGAACAATATAAGAATGCTAAAACTGGAGAAGAAGTTCCAGTTATTGACTGTGTAAAACATGGTTATTTCAAGGTCCTTGGTAAAGGATTCCTTCCAAAACAACCAGTTATTGTCAGAGCTAGATATTTCAGTGAAAAAGCTCAACAAAAGATTAAGGCTGTTGGAGGAGCATGTGAACTTACTGCTTAATTGGATCTTATTATCTTGTGAATTTTTTGTTATAAATATTATAATTTTTCAAAATAAATATACAAAATGAACTTAATAATAAAAAACCCTTTTATATTCACTTAAATAATTTTCAATGGAAGTACGTATTGTCACTAGTAATCCTCATAAAGCAAAAGAAATTAATGAAATTTTAAAAGATTTAGGACTTCAAATTGGAATAGTTAATATTAATTTAATGGAAATTCAAGAAAGTCCATTAAATATTATTGAGTATAAAGCCAAAGAAGCTATTAAACATTCTAATACTCCAGTTATTGTTGAAGATGTTAGTTTTAATTTAAAATGTATGGGAGAATTACCAGGACCATATATTAAATATTTTGTACAGAGTATTGGACCAGCTGGATTATATAAAATGGCAAAAGGATTTGATGACTACAGAGCACAAGCTATTCTTTCTATTGGATTAACCCGTAAAGAAAGTGATGAGGTAGTAAAGATTCAAGCTATTATTGAGGGTAAAGTCGTTGAACCAAGAGGGTCAAATGGATTTGGGTTTGATAGTTGTTTTGTTCCAGAAGGATATGATAAGACATATGCAGAGATGAGTGAAGTAGAAAAGAATCAATGTTCTCACAGAGGAGTTGGGTATCGTAAATTAGCACAATGGTTAAAAGAACATCCAAATTATTTTAAATAAGAAAATGAGTTATAATTCAAAATTTGATTAAATAAAACATCAAAATTTATTATTTTTATTGAATTGAATTAAAAGAGAAATAAATATTATTAACCAAGAAGTCAATTTAGATCATATTAGCGAGGAGTTTATTAATGAGTAATTCACGATTTCCAAATCCACCACCAAGAATGAAATGGATTTTCTTATTCTTTTCAGCAATTTTAGCACCATTTAATTTGAATGGAGCAAGTTTATTATTAACTTCTTTAAAATGTTTTCCAACTGTGTAAATTTCATGAACAAGATCATCAACACAAACAACATCTTTATCTCCAAGTGCTTTCTTAATCATGCAATTAGAAGTAATTGGCATTCTATTTCCATTAATCTTAAGTGCTCCACGTTTATAAATAAGTTTTTGGACAGTTTCTAAAGTTGGATAACCATAAGTAACATATGGATCAACAAGTCTTAACATCTTAATAGTTGAAGCGTTTGCCTTAATAAAGACAGCATTGTTAATTTGTCTTAATCTAAGAAGTTTAAGAATTTTCTTAATTTTTGGTGAAACTCCATTAATACCTCTAATTCTAATAGCAACAATTAATTTTGGATCGGCTTCTGCATATAAATCACCGTTAATTTCTGCATTCTTCTTAGCAGTATAAACGGCTTTCTTGGCAGCTTCAATATCTTTATGATTTTTAATTGTTCTAAGAATTACTTCTTTTCTGAATGCTTGACATCTTGCTTTACATGGGCAAACAGTTTTTGTGCATGTCTCTCTTTGAACGGCGGTGGCTACCTTAGCACTCATTTCTCCTACACTAAAGCCCTAAATCTTATTTTAGTTCTTTTCAAGGGTTTCTATTCATTACAACTTTTTTCTATATGTTCGTTATATAAAACATTTTATATAACAAAAAATAGATTCAATTATTTAATTCTAATGAATATAATAACAAATATTTATATATAACTATTATTTATTAAATTTTTTTATTATTTTTATTTTGGTATTTTTAAGAATGGAATTTTGGTTAAAAAAAAAAGAAGAAAGAAAAAAACAGAACTTTATAAAACGAAGATTAAAAAATGACAACAACAGATGATACAGTTAAATTTGGGAAAGTTGAAATAACACAATATAAAAGAGCAATAGGAGGGTCATGTGGAGTACCAGAAAAAGGAAAATATCCATTAGGATTATCTTTTGAGATTGTAAACCAAAGTGAAATGACATTTGAAGAATATGTAGAAAAATACCAAAAGAAAACCGAACCATTAGAAGAAATTGGAGAGAAAAAAAGAAAAAAGTTATTAAGTGAAAATAAACAAGATTTAACAAAATACGATGATTCTATTGATATTGAAATGCAAAAAACAATGAAAAGAATAAGTAAAAGAGGATGTCGTTGTAAAGGGGTATGTGATAAAAATTGTGTTTGTGTTAAACATGGTCAGTCATGTATTTTTGGGGTATGTGCATGTAGTGACAGAGATTGTTCAAATATAAGAGATGATGATCCATGTATAGGTTCACCTTTTGATGATATTGATGCAGGACAAAGAAGTATTTTATTGAACGTAACACCAGCACCAGTAAAAAAGCATAGTATATTTAATTGAGTTTTACATAGTAAAAAAAAAACAAAAAAATAAAATTTATAATAAAAAATAATAAATATTTGAAAATGTTCTTAAAAACAAAAAAAATGAACTTTAAAAGAGTAATATGAGTTCTTCTAGATTATTAAAAACCATTCTGTTAGGTTCTAGTAAGTTTGTTTAAGTTGATATATCAAATTATATTTTATGAAAACAAAATAATTATTATTTATTTTATAGTGTAGGAAAAACAGCTTTGATACATAGATTTGTTAATCAAAAATTTACAAATTCATATAAAGCAACAATTGGAGCAGATTTTATGACAAAGTCTATTATTGTAGAAGGAAAAGAAGTTACAATGCAAACATGGGATACAGCAGGAAATGAAAGATTTATATCATTAAGTATAGCATTTTATAGAGGAGCAGATTGTTGTGGATTAGTATTTGATGTATCAAATCCGAAATCATTTGAACAATTAACTATGTGGAAAAATGAATTTCTTAAGAATTGTACAACTAATAAAAATGGTAAATTTCCATTTGTAATTATTGGAAATAAAATAGATAAAGGAAGTGTTATATCAAAAGAAGCTGTTGATGATTGGATTCAATTTAATGATTTAGATGCTATTTATGTTGAATCTTCTGCTTTAACTGGTGATAATGTTGATTTTGTTTTTGAATGTTTAGCAAAAAAAGCATTAGAATCAGAACCTTTATTAGTTCAACCAAATGAAACATTAGTTCAACCTTTTAAAAATGATGATGAAGTTGAACAAGCGCCTTGTTGTTAATTCATTTTTTATTTCAATTAAAAAATCTTTCATTTTTTTTTATTAAAAATTAAAAATATAATTTCAAAACAAATAAATTCAATTAATTCATAATTATTGTTGAACAAATCATTGAATTTTATTTGAAATAATTTCTTCCAATTAATGGAGTAGTTGATAAATCAAATGGAATAAATTCCCAATTTTCATTTTTATTTATTGTTTCATTTAATTTATTTTCATTTAATAAAGGGTCTGAATAATCAAATTTTACAGTAGTAAAATTATCAGTATTAGTAATTTGTGAAATAACTTTTTTAACTGATAATTCTTCTTGATCAGTTTTAACAATTAAATTTTCTAAAATACTAGTAATTTTAGCAAGAGATAAATGAGGACAAATATTAGTTCTAGCTTCATTATCTGATAAAATAGATTTATCATTTAATAATAAAACTCTTGAAGTTTCAGATATTACGCTAAATTGATCTTTACAATCTATTTGAAATATATGTGGTTTTCTAAAGTAATCTTGAAGAAATGAAATAATCATAACTGAGTTCATTCCAATTGTTGTACAACAATTCTTTTTTGATGGATTAACAACTTCTTCAATAAAAAGAATATTAATTTCTCTTAATAAATCTTCAACAAATATATTTATAAATACTTTCGTTACTCTCATTTGTTCAAACATTTTTCTCAAATCATCAATAAAATTTATTAATTCATCACAACTCATTAATGACTTATTAAATATTAATTCCATTAATTTTTGTAAATCTTTTTTAATAATTTCAAATAACTTTGTATATAACTTCTTTATTGATTCAGATAATACTTTAATAAAATTTCCAATTTGACTACTATTACTCTTTTCATATTCTTTCTTAAATAATAAACATAATCTACTAATACTTGAATATAAATATATCGCTTGTTTTACAAATAGTAAATCATTTGATATTGTTTCTTCTAATGCTGTATTAGTTGCTTCTAATAAATCTTCTTTTCCATCAAATGCTTTTTTCTTTATAAGAATTTCAAAAATTAATTCACTCATTAATGTATTAGTCATTGGCATATTTTTCGATTCTAAATCAAATTGCATTAAAGACGTTACTTGTTTTATATCATCAACAAATTTCGCTTCATCTTCTGGTAAATTTTCTTTTTGAACTTCATTCATCTCTGAAAGAAATATAGGACGTTGACTAAAGGCTGATTTAACTCGTTGATGTCCTACTCTTCTAGAAATATCAACTGACCCTCCTGAAAAATCTCCTCTTGAACTACAATTTTGACTTCTTGCATCTCTAGCACTACGTGCAAGACCAGAACTAATTTGTGATGATGCTGTTGTTTGTTTTGATGGTGTACTAGTTGTTGGAGTTATTGAAGAAGCCATTGCAGATTGTTTCTCAAGGGGAATAGTTATTGAAGTGATTTGTCTTTTTAATTGTGGTATTTGACTAGTTTTTGTTATTTGATGAACTTGACCTGAAAATTGTAGAGAATATAAAAGCTGCATTGGAAGGTTTTTATATGTAAAATTAAGTATTTGTGAAGTAGTAATACTATTCACAAATTTTGATAAGTTCACTGATGTTTTAAATAACTCTTTCTTTTTTGTTACTGTCTTAATAACAAATTGAAGTTCTTTTTCTTTGTATGTTCCTTCTTTTTGGCTCTTAACAATAAAAGTACTAAGGAAATTAAATGTTTGGTTAAGGTCTTTATTTATCTCAAATGGTTGTGTAGTTTCTGTAATATCTCCACGTGAATATGTACAGGTAATAAATCCAAATTGGCTTAAACTTGATTCTGGAGCAGATGAGAAAACTTTTTGAATAGTTAATTTGACATCAATCTTCCTATGTGACATAATAAATGAATTATCTTTTCTTGTTCTTTTCTCTTTCTTTTTTCCATTCAAAATACTTTTTCATTTATACATAATTTTATTTTTTATAGTTTCATTTAATTTTCTTATAGATTAGGTACTAATATCTTTTCAAGTTCTTCTGTTAAAGTTGTTATTTTTAAAATGAAAAGCAATTCACATTTAAAAAAAAGTGTAAGGAAAAGAATTGTATCAACATACATAATTTCTAGGCTTGAGGTAAATCAGATTAAGGAAATAAGCTAAGAATAAAAGAATAAAAAAGAAAGAAACTAAATAAATGAATTTAGCTTCATTCTTTGTCTTTAGAAGTATAAACAAATGACTTAATTTTCATTTATTCTTTTTGCTAGTGAGTCTCTTAATAATATCTTTTCTTCGAATATGTATCTTATGTTTACATTTCATTTCCATAAAATAAACACTATTTAAAAACAGTTCTGGAAAGGGTTGGGTTAAAAGAGTGTTTTATGAAACTAACTCATATTTTATTTTAGTAATTTAATTCCAACAAGACTCTATGAATTTACAAATACTTCCATTCTATTAATTAGGATGTAAAAATTTCGTATGATGAAGATGAGGGGATCTTCTTTGTTTGGTTTTAATTTAATAATAAATGAATTTAACAAATAAAAGTAAAAAGTATGTATAATTTTTTGATTCTAATGAAAGTTTTATTAAGAAATTGATAAATTGTGAAATGGTGTGTCAGAGTTTATTCTTATAAAATACCCAAATTAGTTTGTAATTTGTTAAGTAGGATATTATTTACTAGACACATAAAACATTATCTCATTAAAGACATATTACTAAAATACTTAAGGTTTAATTTTGATATAATATGTAAGTCAAAGTCTAACCAAATTTTTGTTTTTTTTATGTTTTAATGAATTTTATCTTTTTTCTCAGAAATTTTACATTATCGGTTTCAATTTCTTATAACTATGAGTTACGTTAAGCGTAGTTTTAAAATTAAAAAACCATTAATTATTTTATTTAAAACAAATGTTATATTTAACATTATCTTTCTTTCTATGAGTCTAAAATTTTTGATAATTGGATTAAAAATAGGTAATAAATAAATTTATTTTATTATCTTTAGTGATATTGAATATAGTATAAGTAATACTTCCACATAAGAAAACAATTAATTAGAAAAAATTAAGTCAAAGAAGGAATTTCAGTTGAAATAAATAATGAGAAAAAATTTTAATTTTATTTATTTTAATATTACTATTCTTTAGATCGAAGGTGGCACGTCTGAAACACCACACATAAACCCTAGTACAAATTCATTCTTCGACTCTCCCAGTTATTATCTGGTTATGACGGTGCTTTTGAATTAGGAATGTATTAGGGAATGCTGCAAAGGGTGTAGCAAGAGAATACAGTAGAATATTACATGGATGTAATATAAGAATCTACTGAAGTGTGGGTATGACTAAAAGAAGATTAGTCAAAGTAAGACTAAAAAGAAGATTAGTCAAAGTAATACAGTAGTAATAAAATGATTCCTTCTTCCATTCATAAAATAAGAAAAATGAAATTCCTTAAAATTAAGGCAGAAAACAAACAAAGGCTTAAAAAGAAGAAATAAGCAGAAGAAGTTTGAAAAACCTTAATAGGAAAAATAAAACAAAGAAGTGCTTTCCTCATTTTGCAAGAAAAACCTAAATGATAGGTTAAACAAAGAGATTACTCTTTTTTAATAAGCTCAGGGATGGGATTAGTCTCCCCTGAGCTAGGAAGAATAGATGAAAATTCTATTAATACTTAATTAACTAATTTTTATTTAATATTACTATTCTTTTAATATACAACCAGTATTGAGGAAAGCATCATCAGGAACAATGGAGATGAACGAAACTACTCCTATGAAAAAGACAGTAGTGGAAATCGAAGAGAAAAACAAAACACTGATTGTCAAAAAACAAAGTATAATGAAAATACAAGAAGAAATACAACAAAAGAAAGAAATAGAATTCTAATTGAAGTGTTGTATTGTTTTGCAATTAATTGGTTGAATAAGAAATTATATAAGAAATTAAGATGGGAACAAATAGAAAGTATAATAAAAGTGATAAACATCAATGTCAATAATGAAAAAGAATATATTAAATATATTAAAATATCACATAAAATAAAAGAAAATACTAAACAATACATTAAAGTGAAAGTAAATGATATAATAGAAGGAAGAGTAGAGTGTAATTCAATAATAAAAAACATCATATTAAAGAATAACTCTACAGAAATTGATGAAGAATACTTTAAAACTCTCATCAATAAAATTAAAGAAATGAAAATAGAAAAATGTACAAACATTAATTACTACTTTCAAAGAAAAGAAACTTATGAATTAATAAATGAAATTAATAATAAATGGATAATGTCAGGAAGCAGAATGCATTATCTACAAGATGATATGAATAATATTTCAATGATTATGCACTTCTATCTCCAAAATAAAATAATAGGAGATAAATTTGATGAAATAAAAGAAATATAAAGAAAATTAATAGACTAGAAGATCTAGTCAAGGGAAGGAAATGGTACAGAATAAAGTGCATCATGAAATTAAAAGAATATGATGAAGAAGGAATAAAAGTTAAAGCACTAGAAAGAATAAAATACTAAAAATATATGATGACTATGATCAAAGAAAGAATTAAATTTAATAAGGAAGAAAGGGTCAGAATCAATACAAATAAAATCATGTTTGATTCTAACAAGAAAATTAGAATAAGGAAGAAATAAAAAATGAAATATACCCAAATAACGATATTACTTTAGAATATTGGAAATCGTTATATGAAACACAGGTGATATTAAATAAAGATTATTGGAAAATAAAACAAATCACCTCGTGGAATGAAAGATATAGAAATTATGATAGTGTCATTATAACAATAAATGAATTAAATTTAAGTATAATGAGAATAAGTAACTGGAAAGCACCAGGAATAGACACTATATATGGGTATTATTTGAAAAGGATGTCATCATCAAGAGAATCCATTCTCAATATCTTCAATGAATGGTTGAACTTCATTCAAAACATCAAATTAGACATGGTAAGTTGAAGAACTTTATTAATCCACAAATTGATAGGAAC